CTTGAAACCTTTTTGACGGTTGACGGTAAAAATACAATACTTTTTTCGACAGCTGACGGTTAACCCTATTAACACCCTCATGTATGAATCATTATAGGTGTCTGTGAAACTGCCCACCTACCCTTCCCCTAAACCAACATTAACACTTACTTCTCACTTAGGGCAGAATGTTGGCTTAAGGGAGGGATAGGTGGGCAGTTTCCCAGAAACTTATAATGTAGTACTCATAGATTTCTGTCGCCACCTGCAGCACCAACGCCCGTAGATGGAGGTTTGTCTCAATGGAGTTCATGGAGTCAGTGCTCCTGTAATCAGGTCACAACCAGGACTAGAAGCTGCACCAATCCCGCTCCAGCATTTGGAGGGAAACCATGCGAAGGGCATAAAAAGGAAGATCAGTTTTGTAGTAATACTAATTGCCGTAAGTATGGAACTTTCTTAGATTTATATGTTCAGGAATCGTGTTATACTGTTAATTGGCATTATTATACATTGTACTGATCATCTTTCTTCTCATTGGTTAAGAGCCTGCAGTTTATTAGGAAAGCAGCGCAACCAACAGATTAGTTAGTTATCTGCTAGCAGATAACTGACTTATATTTAGGTTTAGCGCGCAATACATGATTTCCAAGAGCAATGTAAGACTTTGTTCATGTAATGGTGTGGGTGTGTGCCGTTATTTCAAAACAACGTATAATAAAACAATATTAGATTCAGTTTTTGTGATATCCGCAATAATCAAGGGCTCGGTTGTTATCAGCCTCAGCCTTCGGCTTAACTGACGACACTTACCTCGACCTTCATTATTGTGAATATCACAAAAACCTCATCCAATTATTGTTCATTGCAAAGGTAAACATTTGGCCGTGACCGTGACATCAAGTCATATCATAATGAAGTTAGTGTATTCGAAGTTGTTACGATGAATGCGTAAGACACCTTGTTTCTTTATAGTCTCCTTTTGTCTCGTCACGCAACGCTTCTCCCCACAAAAATGGCTGCGTGGGAGACTAGTATTAAATTTTCGCAACCTTGAAATATCAGCAATTTGTTGTTGATGGTCAAGAGGCAATGTTGACCAACACCAGCAACAAACAAAGGCATGTCCTAAACGCATGGACTTACAATAATGATTTGACATTATAACACTCAAAGACCTGTTCCAGGTTCCAAGTTACTGAGGAAAGTTGCCCGAAAGCAAGAGTAGTGGAGCCTATAAGCATTGTTTTCAATACCTCTTAGGGTATACCATACCTGGTACACCCTATGATTGGTCAATTTTGACTGTTTACTTCAACACGTACGCCAATCATTTGCTGTCCTGCTCCCAGATTCTAACAAACATGTCGAGCATGTGAAACCCTCCTACACCGCCCTTTTCGACGTTTTGACATTTGAAATTTTGTCACAAGAAACGGTTTTTCAAGAAGTGGGCGTATTTGAGTATTTGAAAAGATGGTTAAAGGCTGCCTCCTTCTTGCTTCCTACCTTTTTTGGCTAATTCGCTATTTTACTGCTTGCTCGCTTTTTTCCTCGTGCGCACTGACCAAAAGTCTGGCACAGGCTTGGGACTCACATCCTTTCTGGTTCTAATAGTGGTCTCTTTTTTTTTACGTTGTAGCACCAAACTGGTCAAACTGGAACAGTTGGACTCCCTGTAGTGCAACTTGTGGAAGAGGTACAAGGACTCGAGCGCGCGTGTGCAACAATCCTCCGCCACCACCTGGTGGTAACGCGTACTGTGTTGGATTACCAGTTGAGGCAGAAGGGTGCACGGTTCGCGATTGTCCAAGTAAGCCTCGATGCACTGTAATATATAGATTTACCCAAGGCTAACAGCGAATCTGCCGTTAGTGAATTCATAATATTATTTACTTCAAACAGTAAACTTGTAGCCATCGCAAAGAAATCCATTTAGAGTTCAGCCTGCGATCAGTTGAAAACTAGTAACTAGTCAGCGAATAACTTCAAAAAACGGGCCAAATCGATATGCGATATGCGATATGATCACATTTTACTAGTCTGAGGATGTGCTGTTTAGACAGTTGTCAATTGACCACAACCTGGATGTGCAATTTCATCACCATCATCATCAGCATCATCATCATCAAATTTCTCCTTGTAATATCAATTCTTTGGAAACATATTGGTAATGGGAATTAAGGAAACGATCATGAAGATGACTCTAATTGATACTTCAAAAATTCCTCTCACAACTTCTAAAGAAAACCTATAGGTACAACAAATAATGAGAATCTGAATTTTGATGTAAGGGTGTAAAGAGTTAATAACTGAACACTAAGGGTATTAACACAGTTCCGAAGCTTTTTGTCGCCAAAGGATTTCGCTCGCAGACAAAAAAGGAGGCAATTAAGTCAAGCAGTACAAAACAATCTACAAAATGTCATTGTTGTCACATTTCCTCTTTTGTGAAGGAGAAAAACAACCTAACCGTTTCAAAACCATTTCAGTTGGTTAACCTGACCAATACTCAACTAACCGAGCCTTTTTTTTATTTTAGCGACGTCACCTCCAACTACAACATTACCACAAACCACAACGCCACTTCCTGAAACGACTAAACCCCCAAGCACTACAGCGTCGCCAAATACTACAACATCTTCTGCCCCAACCACAGGTAATGATTATAATAACCTCAGATACTGCCACTATCACCACAGACGTCCCAAATTCACGTGAGCGCACGTTAAAAATTAACACATCTGCTAACAATGCATGCTTAACGTAACGTTTTATAGGATAAAAAAGGGAAAAATAGGCAGGGCAGCAAAACCAGCCCAAACGCTTTTTAAAACGACACAGGAACACAAAATACAGCAAGAGGTAACTTCATTTTAATTCTTTCTTATAAGATAAGGTAAGATAATACGACATTTGTTTCCCATTTGTTATTTTTCCATATAAACCCTGTAAAACGCAGATGTATTAATTTTTAACATGCGCTCACTATTGAGTTTGGAAGCCTGTGCTACCACGTAATGACAACAACAACAACATTTTTGACACACTCCCTTGAATGGAGTATGCTTCAGAATCGCAAAAACCCAGAGTCTTCACACTACCTAGGCAAAGGTTAGGTCTTTGTTGTTTTTCCTGTGAAGGGTGCAGCATTATCTAAAGAGAGGGGAAGAGGATTGGTCGTCAAAAAAAAAAAAAAAGAACATTGTAGGAACCGTCTGGGGATATTAGAATAATATCAGTTTCTTGTGTTTCTTGCTACAGGAGTCGGGAATTACACCACTGCTGCTCCAACGACAAGGCCTACTCCAACTCCTACAGCAGGTTAGTGTTTCATTGCTCTTCTTTGCTTATAATTAGACCTCCAAAGTAGATTTGAAAAGCTCTAATGGATAACCACTAATAGGTGTCTTGAGCTATTCTTTCATTTTACAAAAGCACGGAAAATAAAGACATTAACGGGTAAATACCATTTAACTTATGATTATTGGACGAGGTTGAGAAAAGTATCGTATATAATTTGTCAGTGGTGAGCAGATCAAGTATGGCAGAGGCAAATAGTGGATCTGCGATACACTGACAAATCACGATATTTTGCAATAACCGAGATTTTTCGCCAAGAAGAAGCAAAGCGTAGTTTTATTTTACGCATGAGCGGAAAATTATTTGCAGCCAAACACAGTTGGACGACATTGCGCATGAGCAGACCATTATTTGTAGGCAGCTTTTGCAGGTCACGCGGTGGGCTTTTGGCCAATGAAAAGGAAGAAAAATTTGCATTAAATGATAATGCCAATTATTTATTTATTTTTGAGGAAGGGAATTGTGTTTTTCTTTCAGGTTATTTATAATGTTCCGTTCCAGATGATCTATCACTCTTTATCACGAGAAATTTTGATGAAATTGCGTAACATGTTTTGGAGCTTTAACATTTTCGCATAAATGGCAAATGTTTCCACTGAAAGGCAGAATTAACCCTTTAAGCTCTAAGAGTGATCAGCATCAAATTTCTCCTTGTAATATCAATGCTTTGTAAAACAGAGTGGCCATGAGAATTAAGGAAATGATCACACAAAATGAACCTGTTTGATATTTTATCAACTTCTCCCCATGACTTCTGCAGGAAATGAATAGGGACAACAAATGAGAATTCAAATTTTGATCCCAGGGTTTAAAGAATTAAGCTAAACAAGGTACATTTATAAAATGATATATGTCTTCCTTCTAACCATTTATGCTTTCCTCTGTTTTACTGTTTGTTTCAGGAATCAACCGCACATACATCGACATCGTATTTACACTCATTGCCTCATCTGATTTTTCAAACGAAACGTACGCTCTAATGGAAACCACTGCAAAACAATTCATTGAAGAATATGAATATGTGAACCATTACGTCATTGCCTACGTTGATGGGGTGTTGAAAATGGTCAATTTCAGTTTCGGTGCCAATGAATCCAATGCTGCCGCTAGGCGCGCCCGACGAGCAGTGGGTGCGTCGGAACCTTTGATCACTGTTCTAAAAGAAGCTCTTGTTGTCTTTCAAAATAACTCTTTGGGCGATTCCAACAATCGGAAGGCCTTAGTTGTTATGACAGACATAAGTTCTTCTGCCGATAAGAACAGCCTTGAAAAGGCAGTGAGACCTATAGAGGAAAGTGGAATTCTGGTGATTTCTGTGCCGATTGGAGCAGTGGATAGGAAGGAATTGCTTGTCATCTCGCCTAATCCTCTGGATGTTATATCCGTTGATAGGAACATACTGCCTCTCCCGTTGGCCCAACGTATCGGGGAGAGAATAATACGTAAGAATCATTTTCTTTTCAAAAAAATATAATTTCTCAATTTATCTGTCGTTAATTGAAAGACATGTGAGTATTTTACCAATCGGATACACTTTAAATGTCATGACACGAAGTTTAAGAGAGAAATGCTCTTACGTCAAACCTTTTCTCGTCACGGGTTTCCAGTAGCTCAGTGATTATGGTGTGCCGGAAACTTACGCCAACTCCCGCTAGAGTTGAATTGCGCCTGGGGGCCCTGTAGTCCCCATGGTTAAGTCCCCGGCAATACAGGTATCCTTGTCAATAGCAGAAAGCCAGGAGACTTCATTGAAAGTAAACTGCAGTAACTCAATGCTGCAAAATGTTTACGTTTCATATTCTGACAAGTGTGAAGTCGATTTGAGTATGCTATCGTTGACAAAGTTAACACCATTTCCTGTCCCGATTCTTAGGTAACATCCCAGAGATTGATGTTGGCTTTGCCATATCTGTTAGCTCCGTTGAATCAACGGTCATATACGATGTGATGGTCAAAGCATCCAGAACCATAAACGAGCGGTATAGAGACTTCAGGGTCCGCTTCAACATCATTGTGTACGGAACTAAAAAAACAACAAGATTAAGCGAATTTTTCAACACGCTTCTCAGTCATAATGACCTCATAACTTCCGTGAGAAATCTGACAGACGTTTCTTCATCAGCTCTTCAAGAAAAGTTGCGAGAGGCTGAGAATCTTTTCAGATCAACCGGAAGGCCGTTCGCGAAGAGGGTTTTCGTCCCCATCACAGACGCCGGAAATGGCAATGAAATTATAACTGCAAGTAATATATTGAGATCTCACGGCATTGTGCTTTTGTCCCTAAACGAAAATGTGGATCAACTTAGTTCAGTGACAATCAGCCATGTTGATAATCTTGGAACGCCAAACGCAACCACTGACAGAAGAGTAGTCATCGCGGAGGCAATCATATATCAAGCATTACGAGGTATGGTGAATTATAACTCTCATTGCATGCCTAGCTGATAAGAAAATAGTCTATCTAGAAATTGCAACTTCCAAACTAAATCTATCTGCTAAGGTTCATTTTGGCCTGGCGGCAACTACATCCTAAGCTTTGAACAATTCCTTGGCACCAATCTCTTTTTGTTTGCATAAAATTCTTTTTGCGGTTTTCAAGCTCACCTATCGAAATAGAGTGGCGCATGAAGGTAGCGGCGCATTCTTAAAAAAAAATCACAAGACCTCGCCCAGTTTAGGCATAAACGTAAAATTAGCAACTGCTCTACTTAGAAGAGGTATTTTCGTTAACTAGAGTGAAGAAGGGTAGTGCTGGAACCACCTACATGGTATTCCACAAAGTGCTAATCTACGAGTGGTATTCGCCTTATGAAGAGTCAAAGAAAATGAATGAAGAACTAAGCTCCATTTCCGCCGCTCTCCGCTCGGTTCGGGGGAGGGGCGCGGTCTCATTTCCCGAACAACGGCTGGTAATGGAGCCTACTAAAGAACGTAAGGCAGAGAAATATGCATGCACAGTGATAACTGTGCTTAGGAAAACTACCTTTTCTATTTTTTATATTCATCTATGTAATTTAACGTTATTATTTCTCACTTTCATTTTCAGTCAACATTCCAGAGTTAGATGTGACATTCGCTCTGAGTGCCACCTCTATTAATTCCAGCGCTACGTTTACCCGGATGAAAACAACCATAATTGATTTCATACGGCAATATGGTATAAACAGAATTCATTACAGTGCTATTGTCTTTGGCAGTGGTATTGCATCCACCGGTTTTGACTTTGCCACGCAAATACCAGACCAAGATGAACTCATCCGTAGAGTGATACGGCTGAAAAGCAACAGTGGAGGTCCAAATCTTGCGCAGGGTTTGAAAGAGGCAAAGCGAATTTTCAACCTTCAACAGGTACGGCCAAACGCTAGACGCATCCTCGTGGTGATCATGGATAACGCGAGTGTAAATAGGAGAAAAGACCTCGCTCCAGTAGTCCACGCATTGGTCAACAACACCGTTTTTATTGCCGCTGTCGGAATTGGACCTTCAGTCAATCCAACTGATTTGAACATACTCACAAGAGAAGAGCGCCACACTCTCCAAGTGGGGATCAACAAAGCGCCTGGTGAACTGAGGGAGGAGATTATGAAGATCATTGAACATGGACTTAGAAGTAAGTGAAAACGCTTAGTTCACGCTGGGAAAAAAAGTGCTAAGAATCGGCCACAAAATGTGTCCAAAGTTTGTTTAAAAATATCCCTGGAATGTTACAAATATCTCTTAAACCATAGAAGATAATGAGTTGAGACTTTCACTTTGTATTTGTCTTAAGTTTTTCTTTCAAATTCTCCATTTTTTGGGTTAGTACTGCGCATGACCAAAAAGCCCATTTCGTGACGTCATCAGTTGTGACGTCACGAAAATGAAATTTGAGATTTCAAGTCGGACAAGTTCTTCATTTTTTAAAAAAAAGTAAACAAGTATTGTTAAATTTGTACCAAATGCAAATTTATTTTCAGCGGCTGGTTTTTCACTGTGGTCATGGTGGAGTGCATGCTCTAAGACTTGTGGCTCATTTGGCGTGGCCGGGACACAAGAACGCACTCGAATCTGCATAAAGAGAATACTGGGATGTGAAGGACAAATTCGCGAAACAAGAACATGCAACCCACAGGCTTGTCAAGGTAAGGAAAGCCCTTATGGGGTGACCTGGAGTAAAACACGAGGAGGAGTGTTTCTTCTAATTATACAAAATAAGAAATTAAAGGAAAATGGGACCTAAACAATCATAGGCGGTCACCAATATCGTGCACGTCGCCTAATCCACTGAACACTTTTGTTTTCAGCTTGTGGAGAAAGAGTCCTTCCAGACAACAGTTACCAGGCATCAAGCAACTTTGGAGACGCTTCGCTAGCCCGCCTTAATTCCTCTAATCCTAAAGGATCTCTTAGCGCATGGTGCAGAGGTGTTAATGATCCTGTGGGGTTTATTCAGCTAAACTTAGGTAAAAACCAATTTTTTAGCAGATATATTTCTAGCTACGTAGCATTAGGTACCCTGCCAACGAAGGGTCGTCGCCTCTCTCTACGACGCTCTTCGTTTGCAAAGGATCTTCGTTTGCAGGTCATTAGATTTGAGAATAGTGGAATATAGCAAAGGGAAGTTATCAGTAGCGTCAAAGTTAATTTCCTCGCTTTAAAAGTGACAATACATCATGCAAACCATTCTTTTTTTTAAAAAAATGTAAAATTAAAAGGGAAAGAGGGGTGCCGATTAAAAGAACGCATCCGTAGACAATACAAGCTGATAGGGCATTTCTGCCTTTATTTTCCGGTAAGGCTCGTTTTAACATAAAATTATTCAAAACACCATAATTGCAATTGCAGGAGAGCTGGTAAATGTTTCTCTGGTTGCTACCAAAGGCCAAGAATTACCAGGTGCAGAGCACTGGGTGGAGAGTTTTTTCCTTTCAGTAAGCCCAAAGGGTTTCAGCTATCAGAACTATACAGAAGGGGGAGTGCTGAAGGTGAGAAATAGATTATAGTCGAAGAAAAAAGGTGAAAAGGTAAAGGCGCACAAGAGCCAAAGGCCCAAATGGCCTGGATTATCCCGGTTTCCTTAGCATGAAGCATGCCTAAGAGTATTGCTACTCCCCCTGGACGGGATTCTAGTCTATATCAGGATTACCCTCCCCTCCCCCCCCACCACCCCCACCCAGCAGTATGTCGGCGGTACCAATTTATACACCTGGGTCAAGAGAGACAAAGTGGAGTAAAATTTCTTGTGTAAGGATACAATGCGACTGGCAGGGCTTGAATCCCGGGCCTCCAGATCCGGAATAGCAGGTTTTAAACGCTCGGCCACACACACCTCCACAGATAAATAATATGCTAATAAATAACTTGCTGATTAAGGTACATGAATAACTGGAAAAGTCACGGGTCAAAATTCGTTCTGTACTAGACTGTTGTGCACGATGTTCGATGGTGAAAAAAGTGATTAAGGATACCGTCGATCTCTGATTATCCGCAAGACCCTCAGAAACTGGATGTTACTGCTTAATGTTTTGAGATAAGGGGAAAAAGTTATGTATCCCTTTAGAAAACCTAACCAAAAAGGAAAATTATTAAAGAATTGATGGAGCCTAAGAATTTCGTATAATGACAAATGCTTTAATTCGAAATTGTAATCTAGAATCAATCAATCAGAAGAGATCGACGACTAGCCATTAATACTATTATAACTATTACTTATATTTTAGATTTTCACTGGAAGTGTCGATCCAACTGAGGTGAAGTTTAACAAACTCAACATGACAGATCCCGTGCAATACGTTCGATTTCATCCTGTTAAGTCCAGAGAAATGCCTTGTATGCAAGCGTCCGTCTTTGGCTGCACCGTAGGTAAGCGAGAAGCATTTTCTTGTTTAATGTTTTGCCGCATGTAAGGGAAACGGAATTGCGGAATCAGGAAAAATCAGGAATCCTGGGCTTGGGAATCCGGAATGTAGCTGAAGGAATCCGGAATCCCACTAACGATTGGAGTCCAGCATCCAAGTTCCACTGACAAAGACTAAAATCCAGTACCTGGAATCCGGAGTCAACTACGTGGATTCCCTTATCTGGGGCGAAATGTTGATTCTAGTTGTATGATAATGTTCCAGTTGACTGGAATTTCAGCATATCAGCAAAGCAAAAAGCCAATCCTTTAATCGTGTTCATAAAGTCAAACCTCCCATTATCATATTCCTTGAGAGGACTCTCTTGTTTAATATACAAATAAATCACATGAGACAGATTCTGCTAATCAGGAGGCATTTGATTACTGGACCGAGATAGATCTGTGTCTAATGGCATTTTCTCCAGACACTCGTCTTGATAACACCGTGCGAAAAAAACAAACAAACAAACAAACAAACAAAAAAAACCCACTTTTTTTGAGTGCCAATGTATTTAGCACGAAAGCACCAATTGAGGACGTTATTTTTTTTTACGACTCTTTGTAGAAGACGGGACTACCATTATACGTCCAGCCGTTTGCAGGGCATTTGAAGTACCTTCATTTCTCAGTTCTTTTAGCACCCAGAGTATTGAAGTATTGATCTGGCCTTGGGAATCGAACCCGATGACCTTCCGCTCTCTCCAGTCAAGCGCCCTTCCGACTGAGCTAATCCTTCCGCGATAAAAAGCGAGTTTTCGAGAATGCGAGTTTTAACCTGAGAAAACAGCAGACATTTGGCGACGCTACCACTGATATCCCCGCCAAATGACGTCTGAGAAACGAGCGCAGAAATTCCATGCTGATGACGCGTCACTTTCCAGATCTGATTGGTTGAATAAAATTTCCCACGCGGCACAACCAATCAGAAATCAGAAGCACTACTCAGATCTGGGTAGTGACGTGACATCAGTATGGAATTTCTGCGCTTGCTTCTCAGACGTCATTTCGCGGGGAAACGTCGGCTGTTTTTTCAGGCTATGCAAGTTTGCATTCCACAAAATGAAGTAGCTTTCTAAAAGGGAAAAGGGAAAAGTTGTGAATCGATCAAGCTTTTTGCACTTACTAGTTAATTAGTCAATACATACAACAAAGTTTAAAGAGCAATATTTGCTTTGTTTTCGTTTAGTCGACACTAAGCCCAGCGTAAGACCTGTCACGGGCGGGTTTTTAACAAGCACAGAAGGAAAGGGAATATGTAAGTAAATAAGTTATAAGTAAATAAGTTTTAGTTTTAAGTAAATAAGTTATTCATCTTTATTTAAGTTACTTACCGTTTTAGTAGATCTTAGTCTACCCTAAATGTATGCATTTCTAATTGTTTATTGTAAAACTCCGTCCACATGTATGATGATTAAACTTGCTCCCTCAAGAAATAAATAAGAAAATAAAAAGAAAGGAAAAAAGGTTTACTTTTATCAATCGGATTTTACGACACACACGCTAGAACTTGGAAAAGTCACCGTAGTTTTCATTTTTTCGTTCATGGCTAAAGACAACGCTAGCCGTAATTAGATTCTTTGCAATCGTAACTTAATAATGTATTTCAAAACAAAACAGTGGCATTTAAGTGATCAGAAGTTTTAGTTGTCCGAAATACATCTTCGCGTTCCAGTCTTTATTTGGTCACAATGGTTATAAAATACAGTTCTCACAGAGTGTAATGTTGAACGATTTCTATACATTGTTTTTTCAGTGATTGCACTTTGGGTGTTGGCAGGAATATTGACTTCCCTTCTCCTTATGGCTTGTTGCTATTACTGTTGCTGGCATGTATGCTGCGGAAAGTACGTATTGGGAAATGGAAATTATTTCACTTTTTTTAAGATCATTACTTTACTTTCGACAATGAATGCAAGGTTAATGAGGACGGAAGAGTTTATTATTATTATTATTATTATTGTTATTCCACAATAACAAGTTGAAATCTCTTTTTCTCGTCGTCTCGAAAACATCTGACCGTCTTTTTCAATATGGCGACCGCATTAGGTCACACGACCACGCAGGTCATGTGACAGAAGACGGCGCATTCGGGCGTGACGTGGACGCCTCAGTTGTGGTTGAGGCACTAGTTTCTTGTCCATAATTTGTACACTATGAATTCTAAGAAACAAAAAACTTGATGTACAAGGTTTGTGTTTCCTTAGGAATCAGTTCTGCGATGAGATCTGACCATTTTTAAACTTCAAATTCTAGGAATAAGAAACGAAAAGGGCTTACTCACAGAATCCTCATCGAGGGCGATGCAGACAAGAGATGGGTATTGATGCCTACTGGTATGGAACCTGGACTAAATCGTCCTCCGCAAAGTGAAATTCAGGAGGTGGTTGTTGAAATTGGAGAGGAATCAGGCAAACCATCGGGTATGGTGTAGTAGTCCTTGAGTAATTTTATGTAATTTCGTGGATTAGAGGATAACAAGACGCCCCCTCCTTAAATTACATATTAAAGGGGCTGTGTCACGGCAGTCCAGTTCATTTTGTTTAATTTTGACAGTTACTCGCCTTCAATGGCTATGGAACTTAAAGTAAGCAAAGAAGTTACTTGCAAATGACACAAGCAGAGATTCAAGACAAAGAAATATGTCTCCTGAGCATTATTTTTGAAGTTGCAAACAGCACGGATCAACTTTGAAAAATTGTTAGGCTGAACAGTTTTAAAAACCCCTAATTTCAATCCGTTTCAATCTTCTTCAATTTTGTCCATCCGTGGTACTGTATCTGCATGTTGTATCTGCTGTGTTATTTTAATCTTCCTTTAATGTTTGAAGCGGTTATTTTTACGTTTGTCTTAATTTAACGGGCATTTTGTAATTACCTACTTTGGCTGAATTTCGTGACACAGCTCCTTTAATAGCATTTTAACAGTAAGCTTGGACGTCAGCATAAAAGGGCGCCAGTATCATCTCGTCGGTCGGGCCCGGTTGTTTGAAACCACGACCTCCCGCTCGACAGAGCGGTGCTCTCCCAACTGAGCTAACCGGGCGGCGGTAAATAATAATTAAGGATAAAGAAACGATGAAGAGTTGACCGTAACGAGTACCATAAAATTGATTTATGAACTCAACCTTTGCAGGAGTCATTCAATTTGGCGTCGAGGCAGATCAATCAAAGGAAAATCGTGTGACCGCTGAAACTGTTCACTCCGAACTACCAGTGTATTCGGAAGAAGCTGCTACTGTGGACAGTAATGCCACTACGCTTAAAATGGAACCTGCAGATCCAAGATACGCCAACCTGACGAAAAGAAAGGCCAATAGAACCAAGAGTGATTCAGCAGGTTCATTCAAGACTCGTGGAAAAATTAGCTCAGGATTTCCCAATGGAGGCTTTGACGGGTAAGTAACCATTTTGTTCTACTAGACCTGTTGATTTCACTTGGAGAACTTTGTAAACCTTGTGGCTGGGCATAACGTGGTTGAAATCGGCGTTGTAACGATCACACAGAAAAACCTCCGAGAACTAAATGGTAGATCGTACGAAATAAAGGGATATTCTTTTATTGCGAGAGGCACGTCGCGTACATTTTTAACACTATCTGCATGCTATGGTTTAGGGTGGGGAAGCTCGCTTGATTATAAATTTTCTATAAATGTGGCCATTTTAAAGGTGCCTAATTGTACCGCACTCGTTTTATAATACGATCGTCAAGTCAGCATAAAATGATCAGGTTAAATATCCCAGCCATTCTTGTTCTTCCATTTAACCTTCCTCGCCAATGGACCTCCAAGTGAGCTCTTTTTTTACTAGGCACTCGTTGCAGTAATTTTTTCTCTTTAAATCTTGATTCTTTCTTTTTTTTTTTCGATCAGGTCATCTGAGTGGTTGTCGGATTCTTTCGATAACGATGGAATGAATCGTGCCAGGAGTTTGGATGACCTCGCCATCGTGGATTATGAAATGTTTGAAGAACGCCGTGGCTCGGATCAAGGCGCAGGCAAAGGTGGAGACGGTTACAGGAGGATGAAAGAAACGAGCAGGGAGTCTGTAAACAAGCACCATGTGGCTATGGAAGAAAAGGTGTTATCTTTTATGTCGAAAAATGGAGACCAGAACATGGAGGTCCTGGAAAGTTGGTTTAATCCTGATGGAGGAGCCGAAGAACCCCGACAGAACAAAGATAAAAACGAACCAGTCTATTCAGCGGTCGGGGCCCAGATACCCAGGGATGACCCGGTATACTCCGAAGTGGGATCCCAAATACGTAAAGACGAATCCATTTATTCCGAAGTAGGATCTCAGATACCTAAGTAGGGAAAACGTAAGTTCACACCTTTTGTTTGACCTGGAAAATACGAACGTTTTTGAAGAAAACAACTTAAACAGATATCAGCTGTGTTAATGTAATCCTTCTTAGGATATAAATTAAACAAACTGACAACAGCAGCTTGATTAAGAGACAATTACAAAGCTTTTGGAAAAATAGAAAAAAAAAATGTTTAGCACTACCATTAGTACCATGAAGTCTTTTAATTGATGTAGGTAATCATGATGGAGAATTATCTCTGATATTTCAATCTTTGCCGACATTTATTTTATAGGCCGGTCGATTGGGCGATATGCCTAAAACAAACGTCTCAAGCTAAAAAGACACTATTTTTCAAAGCATGATTATCGTGTGCGGACTGTGTCGCGAACGTATTTTAACCCGGTTAGTAAAGTCTGCGAGACATTGCCGATATCCTTGTTTTAGGCACCCAGCGGAGGCGCAGGCTATATCATGTCTTTCAATTGATGAGCACCAACCATTTCAGTCTTGGTTCGACGTTATGTCAAGAAAGTTTCTTGGTGATTGCTCGTTAATATGGCTGTTTTGGGTTCTTTTCCCATAGGTATTACCACCGCTGGATATAAATCAACTTAAATTCTGGATGTTTTCTGAACAATTAAAGGAAAGGCCGTTACTACCATGAAGCCTGTTTACATGGACTGTAAAATAAGTTGCATGTGGTATACCTCATACTTATTTTGTTTTATGATTTTTTACCAGCCAAAAGAATAATAGTTAGTCCAGTGGTTTACCATTTAACGTAAAGCTTAACTAAGTAAGACAAAGTATGTTGCAAAATCGTGGGAAGGAATTACATCAGGACCCTAGAAGAGAAAGTCTGCTTTCCTTTTTATCATTTTAAACGATGACATAGGGTAGCATAAAATAGTTCCAGCTGCAGGTAAATCAAGAGTGATAGGTGTCTTAGTAAAAAGACATAGAGAAAAATATGTTGTTGTGTTGCTCATTTGCTGTTTGGGGTTTTTATATTTTTGTATTATTATATAGTATTTTTGAAAGTAATCTTGTATGAGAAAAAAGTAATTTTGAAAGTATTTTTTTTCCTTTGATTTCATTTTTTTAGGATTATAACCACCAAATCAAAATGTATGTAGAAGAAATAGAAATATACCAAAATTATGTGAGTTATCTCCAAAAAGCCCACGTTCGATGTATTAAAATTCTAACATGACTCCGAGGCTTTAGGTTCAGAATTGCAAACTTTTCACGACTCCATTGTCTCGCAATTCCCAGAACAGAATTGAGCACAAAGAAAACCAAAACAAATATAGAAGATGACCAGAAACCCTTGGAGTCATGTCTGAATTTGAATATATCGAACGTGGGCTATTAAATAGTCTCCTACAAGAACCAAAACAGTATGGTTTAACATGACCAAAGGTAGTTGTATAATCCCTTGTAATTGTTGCGAATAATTAAACTTGTAGATACTGAATTAATTACCAGCTAAAAGCAATTTTAATTTAAGGGTTTTTATTCTTATTGAGCGTTTAAACTATAGTGAAATGTAAAAACAATTTGAACGTCAACTTAGTCTTTTTCTTCGCTAGTAAACTACTCTTAACTATTTGTATTTGACAGGACTTATTTTTGGAATTACTCTAGAAGCTTATAAAGGGAATAAAGAATGTTAAACGTTAAGTTTACGTCGTTTTAAGCGTAAATTATATTCGAGTTTAACTGAGTTCGCCAAGCGACTAACAAACAGCCCAAGTGATGCAATGCGTCGTAGCGGAGCCCGCTGGTTACAAGAGAACTAAGTCAGTTTGCAGGATATATGACAGTATTATTCTGTACAGTAGAGCGACAAACGGCGAAAAATATAACTGACTACCGTAAAAGTCCGAAAATAAGCCCCTCCATGTATAAGCCCCTCCAAATATAAGCCCCCCAAGCCGGGAACGCAAAAAACCCTCCGTTAAATCGCCCCTCCCGAATATAAGCCCCCCGGGGGCTTGTACTAGGAAAATTGCCCTTAAGTACAAAGTAAAACAAAGCAAAAACGGTAAATTTACTTCCAACTATAAGGCTAGCCCAATCGATTTTGAAACGCAAATTTCCCTCCGTAGATAAGCCCCTCCGAATATAAGCCCCTCCAAAAATAAGCCCCTGAAAAAGGGCCTTTGAAAAATATATGCCCCGGGGCTTATTTTCGGAATTTTTACGGTATGTAACCAGTGAGAGAAGGAAATTAATGATGAAATTGAATTTGGCCTTTAAATCTTTGAATGGTCCACGCAAAAACGCAACTTGCCACAAGCTCAATATTGTGCTATTCGATTCTTGCATTAGTTTTCGTTGACTCAAAGTAAAAGGGGTTCAATAGGCCACTGGCACTAAGAGGTCACGTGACCAATGCTTCCTTTAAATAATGAGTCGGAATCTTGCTGATGCCAAAAATTGTTAGAGCACACAAAAATTATCTCACACCCTAAATTTGAGAGGAAACGCATTTAAGGGAGATATTTTATGGCACTTTGATTTTTTAGCAAAGTAGTATGATTTGTATTGGCCGGCATGACATGGCGGCCATGTTGGAGGGCATGCTTTTGCCCTCCAACATGGCGGCCAAAACCACTTCTTGCTTATATCTTGTTCAAGTTTCATAGTTACGCTCAGATGTGCTGCAAACGTTATCACATCATCTTTTCAACATTTTCCTTGAAGTTTAAGTGCAAAATGTGTGTTCAGAGAGAGGTAATTCATAATTTTGAAAGTCACATTTTGGTCACGTGACCAATTACGAACTTATTCATTTTAAGAAAATGGTGCGGGTTTGAAAAACCAAATCACTATTATTACTACCTTTCATTTTCAAAAAACGATGTCACATGCCTCTTAGTGCAAATGGCCTATCGTTTGCATTTTGCGACCTCGAACATTTTAAAGATAACCCACATTAACATACGGAGACGACCGACAAAACGGAGTGTATGACTGGGTATCGTCAACATCGAAATAATTACAACTGAGTGTTTTGATAACAGGCCATTTTCTGTGATTTTGTGGCGTTTATTGAGTCAGCTCTACAGTTCGATGATTTCCGCAAAAATTCTGAAACCTCTCGCTCTGGTAAGTTTTCGAAACGCCTTCGCTCTTCAGTGCCTTACTAGAAGCTCAATAATAGGAATTTTAGAGAGTTCTTGACTGTTTTCTTTTCAGTCTAATATCGAAAGGCATTGTTAACGCAAAAGAAAGAAATTTGTACCGTTGATAAAAGACGATTGACCACATGTACTATCACACGCACATATAGGCGTATGTCAGGATTAAATATAATGATTGTGGGTTTATGGGTTACGTTTACATTAAATATAATGATGGTGGCTTTAAGGTTAAGTTCACACGGAACCGGACGAATTTTCGACCGGCTGAAAATTCGTGCGTTTAGGATTTTCGTTCACACGAAATCACGAAAACCGTAGAAAAATTTTGACGCATGGCTTGTTAGTTCCCTGTGGACAGAACGAAAATGTTGACTGGTGTCCGCTCAAATAAAATTTACAGCCAGTCGTCCGGTGTTGTGTGACATTTAGCCTGCGAATAGCCCCGTCTCTTTTTCGTCGCTAAGGACTTTTCGCTAGAGACTCTCCTGAGAAACGTACCTAGTGCCTAGGTGCGAAGAGAAACGGCTGCATTTGAAGGCTATTTGATCTTAGGAATTAGGTTTAACCAGCATGCGAGCTATGTTACAATATAAAATTGGATGCCTCTGTGCAGTGGTGTATGACCCTGATAAATTCTTGCGGAAAGCCGAGATTAGCATTTTGGTTTTTGATAAAATGTGCAGATACGTGGAATTCTAATTCATTATACTACACCCGGAAGTTCTTCTTACCCGCGGCTGCAAGGAAGGTATAGGATCCGCCCGCAAGTATTTTTTTCGTATGGATGGACACAAGATGTGTTGTGCGTTAAGGCAGATGGGTTATTGTATTGCCATTCGGAACTTCAAATGTATAGGGCTGAATTCGAATCATTATTCATCTGTCATGACCCGACTGATTACCAATAGACAGGGGCACCCAACATCAATTTTCGGAAAACATCTGTTCGGAGGACGATTTGAGATCTAGAACTTTCGGAACATTTTTTGTAAAATTTCTTGCTAGCCTACCTCTCCTAGGATTTTCGAACATCTCAAAATTGGTATAATTGCCCATTTTTAACTGATTTTTACCCTATAAAGGTCACCAAGAATTTTCGGGAGCCCTTTATCTGGCTGAAATGTTCGAAAAGGTAAGTTTTGATCCCTATAATTTTCGGATCACTAGACTTTCAACTAGGAAATCCGAACAGATGAAAAATTTTTAGGTGATAAAAATGTGCCTATATCTACCGTTTAAATACTAAAATACATTTAACAACGCTATGCTTAAGCGGTTTTGAACTATTTTCTCGTTGGGTGCCCCTAAATAGACAACCAGAGACCCGCGACCAATTTAGTCAAACTCAAACAAGAGCCTAATGAAGCGTAATTAGTACTTCACGCAAATGAACACGGAAGGCTCAGCAGCCATTGAACTAAAGATGTGTTTTTCGCTGGGAATCTAAGATTGGTGTCTTAAACTCAGACTGTTTGGACTCGCTTCGACTAAAGAGACGAATAATCCGAAACTGGGGAGTTGGGAGTGAGAATTGGAGCGAAAGTCCCTCTCTTCTTTGGCCAATTCTCAAGTCATTCTTTGTTATTCATTTTTTCATTTAATATACAAGTTATTATTTACATTTGTCAGTCTTCTTATTGCACTTGTATCTATTTGTATATAGTATTTACTGGTGAATTCAATAAAATAAGTGAAACAAACTTTTCAGTACTACTGATGCGAGCCGGTAAGACGTGCTGGACCTCACATTTTCACAGGAAAACCGCTCATTGGTGTGAGCTTTTGGATTTGTGACCAAAGGAAGCCACAGATCATTGAAACGATGAGTCCCTTTTTTCGGAGTGAAAATTTTAAGATTTTTTCCATTTTTAAAGCTTATTTTGAATGAAACAACCAGGTTTATTTGATTTATTTTCCCCACAAAACGCAACCTTTGATTGCGATTTACAAAGGGGAAATTGCCTGATGACAACAATTCTCAGAATTCCTGGCACAGAATTTCCGGTGGTAGCTAGTACCAAAAGAGGAGGGAAAAACATAATATTCCTCAAGACAGTCCTTGTGTTAATGGCTACCTGTAAGACTTTTCGGTGCCTGGTTTGTAGATATACTACATACTACAGGATATTATAGAGGAATACTTGTTTCCGTCGTGGTTAGGACACTAGGGAGTTTACGCAACGAAGACGGCAACGGCTACGAAAACGTCACTCAAAAAGTGAATTTGCGCTGCCTCAAACTTAATCGCGCTTATTCCGTCTCCTTTAATTCGTCAAATGTTGGCAAATTTTTTTGGAGTTGAATTCGAAGGTACTGCATCAAAGTTCAGGAAAAGAAAAAGAAAGCCGTTGTCTTTTGTTCCCGTCATCGACAGGGGTTGGGGGGTGGGTGGAGGGGGCGTTGGGGTTGGTGGGTGTTAAGAGTGTTGGGAGAGACGTCGGGAACGATAAAGTCGGGGAACAATAAAGCCTCAAAGAAGCCTCTTGTTAGACTAGATTGCTAGATGCTACAGTGAGCTCACACAAACATACAGACTAAAATAAAACAAACAAACAAACAAGAAACAGACGCCGGGTAGGTTTAAAAAGAATAATTCGTACCGCTGTAACTGAAGAAAAAAAAATAGTCAAATTAACAGTTTTTGCTTTCTGAACTTTGTACCGTCCGCTTTCATTAATGTCCGCCTTCCGTGTTAGTCCAGTCAGCACTAAAGTCTTAAAGCCTTGACACGAGGAACATCGTTGTCTTTGTAACTTCTGGATTGTTTAAAAATAACATAAGACAAGTGCTTCAAGCCCTGCAACGCAAGCTTTTAAGAGAGCAGTCTCATAATATCGGACTCCTGATATGCTCTGAAGACGTCAGTTGTGACGTTAGTAAGGAGCACAAAATGGGTGTAAGCGTGGTACAAACCATAACTTAACAAATACATATACAGATATATTACATTAAGCCGCCACACATTAGATTAAGCGAAAAGTTAGGAAAGAAAATGATGCAGAAATTTTCTAAAAGAAACGGAAGTAACAGTAATACCAAAATGTTCTCAGCAACGATGGCATGGCAGTTACAATGTGTACTGTTAGTTTTACTATGTGCAGCAGAGAGCACTTATTCAGGTAAGGTTTGTTCAAATTAAGCTATCTGTATTCGTTTCCGCTTGGGGAAACAGAACTGGCCGCGAACACGAAATTTTCTGTGTATCTGCAGAAACTGAACACATAACGTGGATTTTACTTTTGTTACATGCAGATA